GGAGCGCCGCCGCGCTCCCAAGCGGCGCACTGTAGCAGTGCGCCACCAGGCCGGCCCAATATTTTGTATTCTTAGTGGCTTATGATTGACTGTTTTCCTCCCAATGTTTTATTATGAAAATTTTCACACATACAAAAGAATTGAAGGAATTATACCATAGCTAGATTCTACAAATAACATTTTGCTATATTTGCTTTGTCACATATCTGTCCATCTAACTGTTCCTCTAGTCATCCATCAATACATCTTTTGTTTTTTATGCATTTCAACTAAGTTGACTACCAGTTTTTTTCTTTTTTTTGTTCTTTGTTTATTTTGAAGGATGAGAATTATATTTATTATTTCTTTTTTAAAAAATTTTTATTGAATCAAAATTGATTATACATATTTTTGGGGTTAAATGTTGAGATACGTTGATCAAATCAATATTACTAGCATATATATTGTTACAGATCGTAATTATTCTTTATGTCTCTTGTCCAGTCTCTCCCCATCCCCCTCGCCCTCCCCCATCCATCCTCTATTTACCCTAGATTTCTTCTCTCCTTCTGAAAGAATAATGGTTACTCTGTTGATTTGTTGCCTGGATGATCGGACCTGATCACACCTCTCAGCATTGGATGTCCAATGCTGAGAGGTGTGATCAGATCCCCCAATATAATCATAGAGCAGATGCTTCTTCTGTCACTCTTAAACGGATTTTGTGGAAAGAGACATCCTCTTTTCTTTATCTCTGATGGTGACTCTCCTTGTGTCTGTGTACTCCAGTGGCTGGCAGACTACCTGCGTGGTGGTTGTGGCTTCTAGCCACTTTCGTGGCAGCCATGGTTATTGTGGTGGCTGTGGTGAGCCACCCACAAGGAGGTGATGTTTTTGGCATGATCCTTGGCACTGGCGGTGTGCCTGGTTGTGGGAGGGAGGTATGTCCCAGGCTCCATACCTCACGTTACAGGCGGACCCAAGGCACTGGCAGTGTTTCTAAGCCAGAACTAATTTTTTGTCCTTTGCCTACTTTTAAAGTTGGGGAACTTCCTGTTGGGACCAGTACTTGAGCTCAGTGGTTGAGCTATATTGCTGCTTTGCTTCTGCTTCCCTAGGGGAGGCTTTTTGTGCAGCTCGGGTTTTCATGGTTAACTTCATAGGTACTTCCAGCTCTCCAGAGACTTGGTGCACCTGGGTTGTGTAGAAACTCTGATCTGGGCCTGTGTCTTTTCATCAAGCTCCACCCTGTGCAATTCTGTATTCCTGACCAGCTTCCTCTGAGTGGTCGTATGCTGATTGGACACAGATCACTGTCCTTGCTGTGCCCCAGCGTTCTCCAGGTGGTCCCGTCTCCCCCACGACCAGTGCTGCAAACACTTCCCGTGGGATGGGCCATGCGCTGATCCCTTGTGATGACTCACCAGCCTCTGAGAGGCTCCATTTTTTCAGTTGTTGTGGCTCCTTGCTCCTATGTGGGTCCACGGGAACCCTATCAGTGATCTTGCTGGCCTGAGGTCGCCAAGGCACTCTTTTCCCCTGCAGCCTCACAGCAACTCCATCTGAAGGGCACAGCTGTGGCTTTTGCCAGTTCCTGCTCCGTGTGCTCAGCAGCTCCAGCCTTAAAGCGGCTGTGGCACAAAATGGTCAGTGCAGTTTTTTCTTCTCTCGTCGTGGCTTCTCACGCCTTCATGCACTCCATAGGTCTCTCTTCCTCTTCCCCTGAGCTCTAGCGGCCCCAGCTTGGCTGTTGTTGCTTTTTTATATAGTGGTAAATTGGTTGATTTGTGGGAGTGAGTGATGCTGGGGACTGTCTCTTCTGCCCTCTTGACTGGCAGTTTTTCTAAGCAGTCTTTTTTATTTTTTTTCCCCTGGATGTTGTAATTAAAGTGTTAACACATTTTATCCAAATGTTTTCAACTGACCCTTTTTCCTATTTCTAGAAATCTGAGTTTGCCAATAAGCACTGTCAAACTTAAATTATTTTTAAAAAGGCCTAGTAAATAGTGTTAAACCTGAATAGTGTCCTCTTCCTCAATTGCTTTGTAATCCAGACAATTACAATTTTTAAAGTTATCAAAAATAATTTACAGTGGTTTTTTTAACCTTCCTTTAAGAAATTTAAATAAATATTTATTCACATTATATTGTTTTCAGAGTGGAGAGATCTACAGACCAAGTCATCAAGCCAGTCAATGTGGGAGCACTGTCAAAATGGGTTGGGAAGATACCACCAGATGTTCTACAAGACATGGCCGTGATTGCACCCATGCTTTCCAAACTTGGCTATGACCCATATGCCAATCCACCTAACTATGGAAAACCTGATCCCAAAATCCTTGAAAATACTAGAAGGGTAAGTGCAACTTTTAAAGTGACTGAGAAAACAAGATATGGAATTTAGATCCTGAATAGTTTTTTCTTATTTTTTTCCTGCTTTTTTTATGATCCGATATGTATTTTAAATTAGTAAAAAACCTATTTGTAGAACGTGTTATTAGGAGTCTTCCACTGCATTTTGAGGATAATTCTGGCTCTTCCCAAGAACAGTTGGTACAATTATTTAGTGGTTTTTGCCCAATATCTAGGAATGGTACTCACTGTTGAGGAGATTTATTCTCATAGCTGATTACCATAAATTTGCATAAGCACCAGAATTGTTAGTAACCTTACTTCTACTTTCTTTTTTTAAGCTAATGGCTACTTTATTTTTAAACCTTTGTTTAGATGAGGCATAATTTCTTGATACCTGAAGGCTAAACGTTGGCCACGTTACAAGGATTATTAGGGGCCGGCCCGGTGGCGCACTGCTACAGTGCGCCGCTTGGGAGTGCGGTGGCGCTCCCGCCGAGGGTTCGGATCCCACATACAGACTGGTTCCCGCTCACTGGCTGAGCGAGGTGCGGGCGCAACACCGAGGGTTGCGATCCCGTTGCCGGTCCCAGCCCGGTACGGGCACGACACTGAGGGTTGCTATCCGTTGCCGGACATGAAAAAAGACAAAAAAAAAAAAGGATTATTAAACAGGTACACTACACTAACAATCTGATTGGGAGAAAGTTGCTATTGAAGTACAAATGCAGTTTTTCTTTTAATAAGTTAAGCTCATATCTTTACAAAATATTGTTTCAAAGAAAGTGTGGAAAACTCAAAGAGCTAATCTGAATATATTCTTTACCAGCTGAGTCTATTTCAAATCAGACCTTATACATGCTTTTTTTTCATTGTAGTAAAATATACAAAACATAAAATTTGCCATTTTAACAGTTTAAGTGTGTGATTTAATGACATTAAGTACATTTACATTGTTTTTAACTTTTACCACCATTCATCTTCAGAACTTTTATTATTTTCCCAAAGTAAAACTCTGTACCCATCAAACCATAACTCTCCATTCCCTCTTCCTTTAGCCTCTGGCAGCCACAACTGTACTTTTTGTTTCTCTCTTTTTTTTGAAGCTACAGTTCAAACATGTTAGCATAAGTTCACTGATAAGCTACTTGATTTCAAGATTAAAGTTTCCTGGCTTTCTCTAGTATTCCCTTATTTATGTCAGTGTCCTTCTTTCCCCACAACCTTATTATATATCTAACATATCATCTCTTTATTCTATCTTTTTTTTTGCCTGGCTGGTACAGGGATCAAACTGTGGACCTATCAGCACCACGCTCTAACCAACTGAGCTAACTGGCCATCACTATTCTTTCTTTTGATACCTTTAATTGACAAACAACCTCATTTCATTAGTTAATTTCCATGTAAATTCCCTTCTCTTAGGTATTTGTATTACTTTCATTTCAGTTCATCATTACTGGCTATACAGTGAAGAGCCATCTTCTTGTAAACTATCATATATGAAGGCAAATTTTTTATTTTTCAAACAATCTGTATCTTTTTTATACTTTTCATATATATAAACATTTTTATTATAAAAATATAAGCTCATTATATGAAACTTACAAAATTAAAAAGAGTATAAAAATCACCTGTAATGTTACCATCCAGATAATACCATTCTTAATATTTTGATGTATTTCTCCTCCTTCACTGCGTTTTGTTAAAGGTAAGATTACATATCATATAATCTTAACTCTTCTACATGCACAGTTTTGTATCCAACCCTTTCTTCTTAATATTTATGAACATTTTCTTATAGTGCACATTCTTTTTAAACATAATTTTTCATGCTTATGTAATATGTCATCACAGGAGCCTCAAGTCCTCTCTTAAAACACAGTAGTAAATTAATGAATAAATGAACAAACAAAATATACTTCCCTAGAAGATGTTCTATAATACATTTTACCGTTTTTCTTTTGTTGCTATGCAATTTTCTCTTTGACAAGTTGTGCTACAGTGAACATCTTTGCACATATTGTATTTTAGGGTTTTTTTTTTAAAAAAGTTTAGACTAAAAGTGAAATTAAGCCGGGTCAAAGTACCTGAGATTTTTTTAAAGGTGCTTGATATATGTTGATACATTAAAAAAAAAAAAAAAAAAAAAAAACTTTTGAATTACCAGTATAATGGAGGGGATTTTACTTTAAATTTTTGCTAATTTTAATAGATTTCATTGATTAAATGTAACTGAATATTTTCCAGTTATTAGCTATATGTATATATCCTTTTGTGAACTGTCTCTTAAGTTTTTTCAAAGTTTTATATGTATTAAAGTTTTGCAAACTTTAATGAAGCATACATCAGTCTAGCATCCTGCTTTCCTGGTCCTTGTTAATCTCTTTATAATTGGTAATTCATAGCTTTCTCCTTTGCACAATACTGAAAGGGTTTTTTATGAACCAAGATACATATACAAGTGATATTTTGAGGTTTCCCAGGTGGTAGACATAGTTTTTTTTTACATGCAAGTTGGCTTGCCTAGATGATTCTTCGCTTTCTTGAGTGGTGGGTTGGGAAGAATGCTGTGGTTTGAATCCATGTGACTAAAGAATTTATTTCATACACACTGTGGCTTTATTTATTTATTATTTTTTATTTTTCTTCGCACTTATAGTTTTTGAAAAGTTTTCAAAATGCACATTGGAGGAAAAAACACTTTTTTTTTTTTCTGTCTCTGCATACCTCTAAAGTGACAAATAATTCTGTGGAAGAATAGATAAAGTGTGAATTATAATTGTATTTTGAACCCTTTGTGGTAATATGTATAAGCTGACATTCCTTTTTTGTGAGGT